CCCCCCCCTGAAAATTCTTCACCAAAAACGTGTTCCTGGAACAACCAGTTAATCCAGTCCTGATCATCGAAATTTAATTCCCTCAGAGTAAACACACAGCAAGACAGTTGGTTTTGCGGTAAGGGCCGGTGAGCACGTGGTTCTCGTGGGTCCCAATCTCGTTCAGCTAGGTAGGGGAGAATGGCTACTAAGGAAGGGAGAGCGAGTAGAGGCCAGGAACGTAGAATGATTCGGAACGAGAGGAGAGATATACACGTAGGGATAGCGGGAGCTCCACTCGGGACGACCTTGCCGTGCAGACACACCAAGTGGGCCCCCGAGTGTCCCCCGTAGGCCCCTTCCTATCTACCTACCAACCAGCCCTGCCAACCACCAGATCTCCCAGTGCCTTATTACTCACGTACGCTACTTACTGTACCGCACATGAGTGCACGCTCGTAACGCGGTACTAATGTGCGCGACGCAATGCAATTCCATGACAGGATTGACAGTTGGTACGGCACACAAAAAGCCTTGTGAATTATCGCGTAACGGTGAACAATGACAATTAGATACAAATTAAGCGATCGAAATAATCATGATGCACTAATCATATAAAATTCGATGTATCCGCGCATGCGTGAGTGCTGACAGGAGGTGGAAATCGTAACACGTACCTGCAGCAATAGTGGTCCCTTGGGCTGACATTGTGGCATGCTTGTGGTTAAGGGCATTGAAGGCGACACTAGTGCGATTCGTGCATTTTCGAGGATACGTGAATGTGTGCGTGCCAAAAAGGAAAGTGAGAGAGAGAAAGTGTCGAAGTGGTTGTTTACGAGCTGTAAGTGGAGAGGGAAGAGATTAGGGAAGGCAGACCGCAGAGGTTAGGTTACGGAATCCGGTGAGTGCATAGTTCCTCACGAGACAAAGTCTTTCCCAAGTGCATACGCGCGAAAACATAACCACATAACCACAGTTTCAACGTACGCCCCTGCACATACGTGAGTGTCTCGTTGCTCGCGGCTCAAGGGAAAGCAAGATTATTTTGAAAGTAGCGCCGCGACGAAATGTATCGCAAGTCTCGGCAGGTGGCGCTCGTCGGCGACAGTTTTCCAATGGCCGTTGGCGTGAAGGTGCTATTGCATTTATTCACTGTCAGTTGATGTATGAAACGAACTGTAATTTCATTTAAGCGCATTGCTTATCTATTCTAATTCCTAAGTGCACGTGCTTGTGATACGAGATTGAGTCTAAAGTTGTACACAGATCGACTCATCTACAGTGAATAACAGTGGTTCTCGTAGTTGATACGGTGTAGGATCGATGAGTGCTCTTGTGTGACCGAGTGATCAAAGAAGTTCTTAATTCATTACGTTCATTATAAAAATGTTCGTTACGTTTGGTTATTTCAAAAAGGTGTCGTACAGGTCGTTGACGTGCGAAACGTTACACGACTTACGGGAAAAGTGAAAATGGTGTGTTAGTATCAAGGCACAAAGAGAAAAGTGAAGTTTGTACAATAAAACATCATCGAGTAACAAAGACGCGGGGTTGAAGCTACACCACGCCTACCAACAAAATGCCTGAGGCTACGCTGAAAATGTTTAACGGTGTTCAGGTTGGTTACCAATGCGGATATACATACATATACCCGAGTATACTAACGCAACAGGCACTTATAAGCGTCCGTTCTTGCGGGCTTAATAGAATACCTGGGATGCCTTCCTTACGCAACCTTTGCATCACACCTTCGTCCAATTACGTAGGGATTCTACGTAGATTTATTATACCCGTCGATGAGTGTTCGCGATTACAGAAAAAATTATAGTGTTCGACATTATGGCGTAGAACGATCGAACCTCGCGGAGCATGTCCTGAATTATGTAAAATTATATTATTCCATCTAACCGTAGTACGGATTACTCGCTCGGGTATGCTCGCATTTACATAATGAAGTGTGTAGGTAAGTGCGGCTTGAAGTTAGTTACTTGCGGGCAATTATGTTGCCGGATAATTATATTAGTCTTGTGAGATAACAGTTCCCTTAGCTAGAGCAATTCGTGCGTATATGCAGTCCGTAATCAGTAGTACTAGAAGTGCTACGCTTATGTAATCCGTAGGTTGCATATATTGGCTAATAAATCGTTCACTGCGTCTGACTGATAGTGCCTGAATATTGATAGTATTGTTCCAGTCTCATCAGCATCCCAGGTAATAATGCATTTCGTAACTGTACTAACGATGGCTCTTTGAGATTAGTTCGTTATCCATTAACATATACCTTTGGTATCTTCATTGGTGAACAAATATATTGTGTGTACTTCCTGCTGTAATCTTATCTGTCCGCCCGGTCCCTTTTTCTATGAAAATCTATCAAGCTGCAATGTGTGACGTCACATTCGTAGCAAGTCACCAGACACCCATGGAATTTCAATGACTTGCATTACGTACTTACAGCATGCATATAGATACTGTTATTCTTCCAAGAAGTAACCTTTCCAGAAGCAGCATACCCGATAATGAGATGACCTAAGTGTTCTCAAGCACGCAAACGAGAAATCGGTATTTTTCTTTCCTTAATATAACTTTCGACGAGCTTTCACGTACGTTTCTTTTTTTTTCTTTTTTTTTTTTTTTACGTTAATTCGTAATATACTATATATCGGTAAATAAGCTATCGTCTCTGAGAGTAAGTCACGCACTATTGGGTAAATACACGAAGTAAATAAATCGGTCATCGACGCACCCAGAGACCTAATCTTAACAGTCATTTGTTTTCATTTTCTCGTAGAGGCACGTTTGTCGCAGGAAGACCTCAGGTATCCACACTATGCATTATTATACGATAGAAGGGGACCCTCTTGGCGAATCACGATCCCTGTTCACTATAAATCCTTCATGTCCTTAAAACGAATTCAAGCCAGGTTACAAACTGAATACTGATTCGCGAATTTCCGACTGTTGTCCCGCGTATATACACAGGAGACGTATTTCCGAATCCGTGAATCGTGACGGCCGTTTTCATGTGACCTTCCTCGCGACAAGAACCAGTTTGAGCAATCACGATTGCAACGTGAATTGGGACATCTCGCTGGTATGATTCATGCTCATTTTATGTCGTATGTCGATCGATCGATTTCCATTACGTGTTCATTTAAATGAAATACTCAGCACCAAATCTCCCGTAACTACTTCCGATACGGTACGAGCTAGAACAAAACGTTAATTTTCTCTCGTCCTGATTATCAACGACGAGCTTGCATTCAATAGGATTCAGTCGATTGAGCCAGTCTTATATCCGGTCTACGTTCCCTGGATATCTGTATCACTTTCGTGATCCCAGTTAGAAGTCAATCGTTACGCTTCTAGCTATACCCTACCGTACCCTTGTGTCTAATAAATGGACAATTTTGTAAATTAGAATTATTGTTCGGTAACGTTATTGTTTTATTATAGGTCGCAACTGTTCCTGGTAATTGTCAATGATTGAGACAAATCGATAGGCTAATGCACTCATTTCATCCAGGCTCCAGATAAGCACAGTGTCTTGTACGACCGTGCGAAGAGAATGTTAATAACGATGAGATCATTAGAGCCAGTGAAAGGAAGTGATGGAGGCTTCAATTTTCTTCTCGTACATCCAACATTCCAACGCGCCACGGGATGCTAATATGACTCGCGATAAATGCCTGCGGAACGTATCGGAAGTGCGCGACTTACGAGGCATAGTGCAATATGAATAGCATTGTTCGTTACGTAGCGTGCAAGAATGCTTACAGTGATTTTGGAATAATTATAATGTGCTACGACTGGGCAATTATATGCGTGACATAAAATATTGCTACTAATCTCGAAGTATCCTATAACGTTCAATCAGAAATGTCGTGGCTGAGATTTAAGTTTGAAAATTTTTTAAACACAGTCGGATCTTATCTATAATACTCAATTCATCCGGGCGAGCACGGTACAATCTTTACAGTCGGGTCAAGCGGATCGCACCTTCGTCTAATGGGTTATGAGAACGGGAAAGCAAGAAAATAACTCGTCCTTACGTACAGGTACAGTTCATTTAAATAGCGGTTTCTGCCGCCTACGTAATAAATGTTCTTGAATACCGCCCGATAGGGGACTATCCCGCAGCTCTCTCACCCTTCGAATCCGCGATCCCTACGAGGAAGTTGTACGAAGTACAACAACGAACTATCCGAGGGGTTAAACCCGGGATTATATTGCGGTACGAGTTTCTGATTGAAATTGCGTTCGGAGAAAAGATATCTGGAGATGCAAAATTCCACAGGCGTTACGACCATTCATTAGCCCTTGTCCAGGACCATGAATGAATTATTTCGAAAATCAATGTCGAATTTTAAATTTTATTTCACTTCAATTGTCCCGGTGCCTTTTGAACGAAATGAAAATTTAAGAAGTTTTGTCTATTTCACTGAAGGAATTTCCGCCATTCTGAATTGACTATCTGGAATTGATCGAGACGACAGTCGTGTTTATGGGCTGGGGTCCAGGAACGTATGATTGCATTGTCGTAATTTACTGCGTCTCGAAAAGTACCCCTCCAACTATTATTTATAGTATTAGAAGGGACGCCACTTTTATCGCCCGTATCGTCGTCCAGTCCACGCTGTTTTCGACCAAAGGATCTTTTCGAGACCCTTTGACTCTCTATTCATCAATCGAACGCCATTATATCGGCTGACCAAGAGAGCGCGTGTTCCACGTATTTCTTTTCTACGTCAGAGACGAGACGGGGCGTTTGTCAGACAGGGATGAAAAGTGAAACGGATCGAGGAGGTCAAGCGATTCTGAATTCTCACCATTCCTGTAGTCCTGACTGATCCCACGGGAGACGAGCGTTAGCCAAATTGTCTATCGGCGGAAGCGCCAAGTCTATAGGAAGTGGGTATAGGCTGGTACCGTCTCGGTGAGCAAAGGCTTCTCAGCGAAAAAGGGAAATGAAATTCTTGTCGCAGGCTATAGGTTGGTTCCCTTTATTGTTCTCCTGGTGGGTACCGTCCTATAGCTTTCTTCCTCGTGAAATGAAGCCCTCGGGGTCTTCGAGCGCCATTACGTCACTGTTCCAATCATTGTAGAAAATGCGAAATATCTTATTCGCCAGTCTCGCTACCAGACCGTGATGACGACACCAGAAAGTTACTTTTTTTTTTTTTTTTGTTTCCGTAAAAATCACTGGCCCCGTTTCGAAAACGACCAATGACGATCTGTGACGTCATCGGGGAACGTAATTCTTTTTTCTCGTGGTCATTCGACGTGACTATCGCAATGCACCGTTTCGCGTTCAATCGACGACAGACAGCGATGGGTTGGTACAACGTCGACATTCTCCCCGGAGGCGGATTCTCTTGCTCTCTCTTTCCCTACAGGGGCACAAAAGATTCGCATGAAAGGAAAAACCTGTTTTCTTGAAAACTGCCAGAAGAAAGAAAAAAGGGACTCCATGCTGAAGCTAGCGTAGCCAAGTGGAAAGTTTAGTCGCGGCATCAAACAGTTTTCATTCTTGATGTCCGATAAAACTGTAACTTAGTGACGTGCCGTTCCGCCTACGGACACAGGGGGTGACACGCGGAAAAGTTTGGCGTAAGTCCTTCGGACTTCTTATGCAAAATCATGGAGTCTGCGGAATGCTGCGAGAGATTTATAAACTGTGGTAATACAGGATTTCCTATAGTACCTTCGTAAAGCGGTGATAACGAATATTCAGTTAGCCTAGACGATGAGGCGAACGGTAATCGCGAGAAAAATATACGATGCAATGTTGCATGTTGATTGAAACTGTATCGTGTTGGATGACGTTATTAATAATTATTCCAGTTCTTGCAATCTTCAATACGGTTATGACAAGAAGGTAAAAGATCACTCGAGTCTTTACAAATAGACGCAATCACTTGGAGGATTAAGGAACCCTCGGTTGCTTATACAGATACGTTATCATTACTAAAATTACCGCCTAATCGTACCGGGCGATAACGCGTAGTACGATCACAAGTATGGTTCGAAGGATGAAAAGAAGGATGCGGAAGGTATTACATGAATTTATAATAAATAAATAACACCGTGGGGCAGCATCACCGAAGTTGCATCGTAACATTTTATTACGGAACGGTCAACGGACTTGTAATCTTGCGTAGCCACGGGATGCGCCTTAATAACGTACCGAGAAATATAATTCCAGCGAAAGCGCGAAAGATCGCCATCGATCTCGAATAATATTCACTAAACTCCCAACAGCATATTAAGTAGATCCGCCCCTGGTATTACTTGCACACGAGCGGACTCATCAGGCTTTAATAATATATATTCGTTTATGGCTTATTTTTGAGGTTAACAAATTTTTCGTTCTACAAGGAACATAACTTTCGTCAAGCTCATAGGAATTTTATTCTAGATCTATTCTATATGGTCCGGCACTTCTCGTATCTTAGGTAATCCAATCTGGACAAACCCGTGAACTCATTTCCCTTGGAATTCTGTGGTCACCCGGAGGAATTGGTATTGCAAGGAATATTGTTTGCACTGACCAACTACTCAGTCAGGTCGAGAATCAATAGCTGTTTTGTGTACCGAAACCCCATACGTGTTTGTTGCAGTCCAAGTTACCCGCTCGTGCGACAGCAAACAATTGATCTGTGTGTATTGCCCTCGAGCCCTGGCTCTAACAACTCGGACAGTTATTGGTTTCATCGTATATCAAGTACCATATCGTTTTACAATCTCCCTTGTCCCTAAATCAGCCGGGCTTGAATATTCTCATCCCAATTGACCCGCTGGCTCGGCAAATTGGCCATCCCATCTCGCTGGACCAAACGAACCCTTTCGGAATGACAGGTTCGCAGAAATATTTTACACAGACGTCGCTTACATATAATCCTACATGTTCTCATTTAATCTTCGATCGTTAGACGGGAATTTGGGATTATCCCGGGATGAACGCGAAGAGGATACCCAGCATCTGGATCATAGGCGGTCTGAATCTCCGAGAAATATATTTACAAGCCCTATGCCTGCTTGCCTTGTAATATCTTAGCATTATACAATATAAGAGGCTTCTTTTCTTCATTTTACCAAAGAATTCGTCTCTTAAAATGCAGAAGTCGGTTATGATAGGGCGTGCAATTAGACACGAGCTTTAGCCACTAGCGGTTCTGCGCATTTGGACAGTGACGTCACTAAACCCTTCGAATGACTTTACGCATGTTATACCGTCAAGCCGCAACATCAATACCATTTTCAAGGGCCATCCTCTTACGAACCGATACGTAAATAAGTCCCCTCGAAGTAAATCTGATGTCGCTTTTAACGTGACGTCATTGGTCTCTCCGCGATCTTTACCAAAACACGATCGCTAGTGGCTATTACCTCGTCTATTTGTATCATCGGGGCAGACGGTAAATGTGGTAGCAGGACATCGTTTCGTTTATTGGTCGAGCACATAGCAGGGATTGGATGAAATATTATGGTCTATAATTTTCGTAATCAACAGGAAGCTACGGCTTAAATACGACCTTTGAGTAAAACTGTGTTTATCTTTGACTGTAAGTGATACTAAGTTTGTGTACATTATCGTTAAAATTAGTGGTACAGTGAGCATAGACCATTAACAGTAGGATGACATCCTCGTGGCATATGGGACATTACGAGGGCAACGTGCACTTAGGACTCAAGGTAGAGATCAGTGACCATTTAAAATATGCCCAAATTGATTCTGTCCTGCGCGGAGAAGGGCTTGCTGAATGCTAAGTGCATCCGAGTGTATCGGAGAGCATTCGAGAGCTCAGGACATGGAGGCAGGGAACGTGAAACTGACCATAGCTTGTTTTTGTTGCAGTACATGGGTTCGTTTCCCGTGGCGAGTCCCGAGATTGCCAGCCGAGCGGAATTCGTACGTACCCAACTGGAGACACTGAGAGTGAGTAACTTTTCGAAAATTCTTAATAATCAAGCCTGAACAAATTATCGTGATATCGTAAAGACGAACGATCCCCGCGAACGTCTTTGGGAACGAATATAAACTCTGTGGTCGCGTCGAACGCCGAATGACGATCCGGTGCTATCAGCTGTGCACCGGGAGCTTTAGGAATATCGTCGGGAGCTCAGAGTGGTATCACGTTATAACGAGGAAAGCGTCGTTCCCGAAGGCTGCGTCGTTTGTCTTAGGTGGTGCCGTCGCTCTCTGAGAAAGTTTACGTTTGCCCAGGAGCCTTAATGGTGGTAATTGTTATTCGTTCTTTATTCGAGATCGTGGTAATTTATAATGCCGGACAAGGGCTGCTACGTGACTACGCGTGACAAGGTCTCAACGGGGACAAGCCAGGCACACCTAGAATTTTATCGCCGCCAGACAGCAAAGATTAATATAACTCTCGCGCCAATTTTCTCCCTCCTTTGGTGGTGGCGACACTCCATACCAATAGTTATATATAGGTGGATGTATATATATATATATATATATATGGAACAATGCCGAGGCTACGTCATAGCGGAGCGTAACGGTTTCTGATGGCGGTGGTCGCGATAGTGGTTAAACGTGGTGCAGGGGTGGTAGTAACCGTAAGACAGATTATACCGGTACGCCTTGGCGCATAATAAGAATCAATAAGATCCCATCGGGGGATAATGGCCTGACATCCTCCCACCAACATTTTCACTTTGTTTGTTTTCCGGTTTCGCATGCATGATGAATTCGGAATTTTATATTCAAATCCTCGCGCGAATCCGACATCGCCTCTGAGTATCTGAGTCCAACGTGACATTGCCGTGAGAATTTTGCTCTTGGAATTTCGGGCTGGATAAAAAAAAATTTTTTTTTTTCCTAAAGACCTCATATAAACAGCTTTCGAGAAGAAGCAACTGTCTGTCGTGGATTCTGATACTTTTATTCATCTAGGTATTCAACTTGGTAATAATGGAATTCTGAAAGATGTGAGTTATCTTGAAGGTCCTCGAGGTTATCCTTATAAATTATGGGTAAGGATGGAATTGTCACGACTCTAAGATTCATGTTTGGCTATAGTGAAGTCTTACGGTACACGTGGAAATTTATGCAATTTGGAATTTCCTGAACAATATTGTATATATGTATATTCGAATAGATCGATGCTGGGGGTACCTAATATTATAAACCCATGGATACACATTCTTGTAGGGATCGATATCTATTGCATTATATACAATTCAAAACACGTACCGCTCCTACTGCTCAATAATCCTATAGGATGCGCCCATACTCTGTATAGATTACTTCCGCGTTTTCACGAACCCACAAATCGTCTGGGAAACTTAGAATAACTTTGACAATATTTGCATCTCGCTGAGATACATATTTTTTTTGTTTTCGGGTTGGAAAATCGTGGAAAGTTAAACGTACAGGATTTTTTTTTTTTTTTTCTGAAAAAGAAAGTTATAGACTCTTGTCATATTTTCGCTTGAAAGATTTATGAAAATCATTGTCAAGATTTCCACACGGAGTTTGGAAAGTGGCCACGATTTCGAAAGGATCGATCGCGCGTTAAATTCTTCCAAAGTTTCGCCGCAATTCTTTAGCGTTACTTTACCTGTAGAAGTTCAGCGTGCCGATTTCGTATAGGTACGAGTCAATAATTACTGATGACATGAACGCCCGAGACATCAGTTTTTACGTAGCGATCGCATGGCAGTAATAGCTTCGTAAAGAACAATGTACTTTTGACTTTTTATTAAAAAATGACGCAATCAATTCGTCTCCCTCATGTTCCGATAATTTCGCATGACGGCAACTTCGCATTCCAATTTACTATCGTGACATTCGAAATATTGTCATTTACAATGTTATTGCGTATCTGCCCGTCGTACCGTGTAACGGTGCATTGCAAACGAGGGCATCGAAACGTTGCAGCAGCGCAGTTAAACCGAAGTAAATAAAAACTGCTTTATTCGATACCGACTGCTCCCTGCACTTGTGCAACTCACCATACACGCGTGCGTTAAAGGACCTACAAAATATTCTCCATTAAATATATTCACGAATCCCTCAGCACTGGCAGATCTACAGATATTCGTTGAATGCTCATGAAATGGCAAGGATGCACTGAAGCACCATTAGACGATCAGACGCGAGACCAATTTGTAATAATAATAAAAAAAAAAAAAAAAAAAAAAGGAAAAATTGAATGCTCATGAAATGGCAAGGATGCACTGAAGCACCATTAGACGATCAGACGCGAGACCAATTTGTAATAATAAAAAAAAAAAAAAAAAAAAAAAAGGAAAAACCTATTGCAAACCACTCGTATTCCCTTATCCATCCACAATAATAAATAGCCCGGCTCCGTAGCCCGGAGGGGATCGCTGGAATTTCGAGGCGGCGTTTCATCAGGCTGAATGTTTGCCTGGAGGGCAAGTGTGATTTGCGAAGGACGAAAGCGCGTTCGTGCAAATGCATCTCGTGTCAGTCGCGGTTGGGGGTTGTTCATACAGGAGATGATGCAAGGGTCCGGGTTACGCTTGGGCATTTTATGAAGGCATTAAAGAATATCTCGTGGCATCCCTGCTCCTGATAGTATGCCATTAGACACTGATGGGCAGATTTGCATCCGCGCGCATCGCGCAAAACGGCGGCTCTTAAAGTTCGCAGTTCGTTTAACGTTACGGTGCGTGTCGTTTCCTTGGCGATGTAGTACCGACGTTTCCCGCTAGTGAAGCGCTGCAGTAGCACTCGGACGCAGAGGTAGGATTGCGGAATTTCAAGAAATCGTATAGGGCCACTACTTACTCTTGATTAAGGACGTGGGGTCGGGAAGGTCGCTGCCTAAGTTCACGCTTGATAATAAGTTAAAGCGAGAGAAGTTGTGATGAGAATAAAAAATGCGAGGTTTATTCATTCCATTTATCTCCGTGAAATATTCTATCTCTCGTTTTCTCAGTCTCTCTCGTCCTAGCGTTACCCCGACGCCCTCGCTTCTTCCGTCCCTCTAAACCAAAATATCTTCTGGCCCTCGCCCTTAGGTAAAGAAGGTGGACCCCACGAGAGATGTAGGTACCTCGTAGCCTCGCGTTGTATTTCATGCATAATTAATGCAGAATTTGTTCATTTTTCTTTGGCGCGCGGCGCGCATTTAAGGGATCAGATTTTTAAGCTGTGTTTACATAATAGCTACGCGAATACGGCAAACGTAATGAGGCGAAAATTACGCTCGGCTGACTCGAGGATGGTAGAGGGATAAGAGAGAATGAGAGGGAGAGGGGAGAGAGAGAGAGAGAGAGAGAGAGAGAGAGAGAGAGAATATAATACTTAAACTCCTCCCGATCTCGTCGAGTGCTGGCGTTTCCTGTTTCTTTTACACAACAATGCAAGTAAATAAGAGAGAAAAAAAGCCGCGTTACATCGGTGCACAGTTCCGCTCGACATTTTGTTAGATATTACTAAAGAATATACCTACCCTCGCGAGAGGCTGTGGGACCCCCCGGGTGGGCTATATTCGTATGACTTTTACGGGACGTGGACTTGGCAGCCGCAGCATCCCTAGCTGGAGCAGCAATATCAGTAACAGCAGCATTGACCATTCCATCCTTCTGAGCCTTCCTTTCTTTCAGTTTCTTCTTCTCTCGGGAATGAAAAAACTCATGCTAGGACATTTCGATCTTCAGCCTCCCTCTCTCGATCCTATCTCGTAATCTTGCGAATCTAACGATCCGTTAAACGGCGCTTAACTCTACTTCGCGGAAGCCTATACCCTCGAAGCACCATTAGGATTTGGATACTCATTCGGGTACCTGCTACTCATTGGGAATCGACTTATTTCTTTCCAGGGATAACAGGTATTGGACCTTGATATTGCCTATGTACGTATTTACCTATTACAGGGGTTGCAACGACTCGACAGAGAGTAAAGGAAAGTCTCGTGTAAGTTTTAAGGACAGACCTATCCTTCGCTCTGGGTACAGGATCGTATAACTAACTTTCGCTCCGATATACGAAAAGTATTTTATCACTTTCGCTTTACGAGCAATAAAGATACAAAACTACCTTGGACATCCCTCGAGTTGTCCAAAAAAAAAGGGGGAAGGGAGGGGCGGCAACTCTATTGCCGATTTCAACGTATTTAACTGCTCGTATATATAATGATAAATCTTATTCCGACTATGTGCTCTCATCCCTTGGACTCGATGCTATTCATATAATAAACCCGATGGTAAATATTGATTTCGTTTGGAGAGTTACGAGCTCCTCGTAAAAATTCAATGTCTGCGCAATCGCACGTGGAATATTCTTGATTTTGCATTATGGCAGGGATATCCCGATATTGCCGGTACCTAAGATCAATGGGACGTGGGGATGATGCGATAAACTTTCTATTCTAGATTTTTACTAGTTTTCCTTATGGCTGTATACTTCTGCTCGACGCGCATCACGTATCGTGTTACCTGCTGCTTATTTTTCATACCCGGAAGCTGCCGCGGGTAGAGAACGAAAGAAATGGCATGGAGTTGGTGGATTCAATTGACGAGTGGCTTGAATTCCATCAATCCCAATGAAAATACTCGCACCTTCGGTGCGCGATCGGGCGCGGTATGCATGTCAAATTCAGAGGGTTCAAAAGGTCCTGGAACCGAACCTCCAGGAACTTCATTCGTTCATAACTTGCCAAAGGGATTCGAAGGATTTAGGAAGTTATGCGACCGGGCTATTCGTGATCGAATTCTGATCGATCTTGACCTCCTCCGAGAGAATTCAATCTAATGAATTCGTTACGTTATTAGGGTGCTCGTGATTGGGATTAATGTCAAACGTTTATCCCGTTGCTGAGCCACTGTGCAAATATTGTCGACTGCATTAAATCTGTACGAAAACATGAAATAATCATGACTCGTGTAATACGTATATTGCCATATGATAAGTTATGTCTCTGTAAAGAGTGTATTTGTTAAAAA